AGCCCATCCTCCGCACCGACGGCCTCAATCAACTTAGCAGCCACATTCTGGGCATTCTCCAGCGCATAAGCCGTCTGCTCCGCATGAGGCGCATCCTTCGCGGGAGGCGGAGTCTCCGCCCTAGGAATAAGAGCAGTCTTAAGCCCAAGCCCCATATCCTCGGCGATCTTAAGTCTCCTGGCATCAATATCGGCAACAACAATCGCCGAGAAATTCTCACTGGCCGCCAAAGCACCAGCAAGCAACAGTCCAATCGCACCAGCACCGAAAACCAACGCCGCAGTCTCCTCCCCAGCAGCCCGGTTTTGCAAAACCTCCTCCTTACTCGGCGGGTGCGAGCGACGCACAGCATGCAACGTAACAGCGAGCGGCTCGACAAGCGCACCACCCGCATCGGACACACTGTCCGGAAGCAAATGGCACATATCCGCTGGGTGGTTTGTGCGCTCCATCAGCGTGCCGTCGAGATGCGGGAAGGCCTTTGCTGAGCTGCGGAATTGCATCGCTTTGCAGATGTTGTAGCGACCTTGTCTGCAGAGTGCGCATGTGCGGCATGGGAGTCCGACTTCCAGAGCGACGCGGTCGCCGACTTTGAGGTTTGTCACTTCGCTGCCGGTGGCTGTTACTGTGCCGGCTGATTCGTGGCCCAGACACATTGGGGCCCGGACGACAAAGTCGCCATTGCGGCCGTGACTGTAGTAGTGAAGGTCTGAGCCGCAGATTCCAGTTGCGCGGATGGCGACTTGGACTTCTTTTGGTGATGGGGCGGAAATGGTGCGTTGTTCCTGGTTTGGGTTAGCGTTTGGGTCTTGTTTTTCGTTGGGTTTAGTTTACTTACCAGGCGGAGGTCTTTGGCGCCGTGGAGAACGAGCGCGGCGGTGGTTGTGTTTGCCATGGTGTGTAGTATAGAGAGTAGTAGGTAAGTAATTTTAGGAAGAATAGAAGAAAGGTTTGAAATGTAAATGAAGTAAGTAAAAAAGCAGCGAAACCCGACCTCTGACGGCATTCCAAGTCGGCCCGTTGATTCCCCTCAAATGACCCAAAACACCCCACTCGGTCGTCGTGGGGGGAAGGCACAACTTGGGAAGGGCCCGGAGGTGCTCCGCTGTCGGGTATTGGACTAATGGGGTGATTTCAATACCCGACGTGGGGGTGGTCATTTTTTGTATTTCCTTTGTAGAAGGTTAGAAGTTACATGTGTATAGGTTAATAAGTTAATAAGTGAAGTAGATAGACCGTATATAGAGATAAATGTAGAAATGAATTGGTAGAAATATAATGGTTGACAAGTATACGATCTATATCTCCGAGGCCACATCTATATCCAAGACACCGTCGGAGGAGCCCCCGTCACGACATGGGGGTTCCGCGATAGCGGGGATCTCCAATAATCTTTTTGATTTCCTGGACTCTTGGAATTTCTTCTTTCTTTTCATTCTCAAACCTGTAAATCTCTGAATTGCTCGATTCAATCCTTCAATCCTCTTGCCCTCTTGATACACTCCTATAGAACCATAGAACTCTACAAATGTGAGTAACCCCGCTGACATCATTTGGCGCATCTAACATGTGCAGAAACAACATGGCAACACAATCAGCTCTCCTCATTGGAGAAATCACACACGCGCGCAAGGAGTGGGAGAGCATCTCATCTCTTTTGACATTGAAGGTAAGCGATTTCTATTGCGCCGCGATCGAATCCCGCTAAAACAGACAAATCAGGAATTCCCCAGCGGAACCAGAGAAGAGTTCATCGCAAACTGCAAGGCTGGCAAGTACGACGATGTTGTCGCTCTCTACCGGTCCAACAACTCCACCAAGGTAAACATCGGCTTTTCTCCTTCGCTTCAAGTTATCCTACTTACAGCGCATAGTACACCGGTCCGTTCAATGCAGAGATGCTCGAGGTCCTGCCTAAATCTCTCAAGTACATCTGCCACAACGGCGCGGGATACGACAACATCGATGTTGCCGCCTGCACGGAGAAGAACATCGCTGTTTCCAGCACCCCAGTCGCCGTCAACAATGCGACAGCCGACGTGGGCATTTTCCTGATGATCGGCGCTCTGCGCCAGGCCCATGTGCCTATTACTGCTCTCCGGGAAGGCAAGTGGCACTAAAATAGAGCAGAATGAGCTTCCCCCAGTAACCAGTAACTAACCATAATCCCAATAACAGGAAAGTGGCAGGGCCCGATCACCGCAGGAGGAAAGGAGTACAGAACCACCCTGGGCCACGACCCCAAGAACAAAGTCCTCGGAATCCTGGGCATGGGAGGCATCGGACGGGTATGTAGTGCAGACAGTAGTCCACCACCAGACCCCAGCTAACCATGAGCAGGAAATGGCAATTCGCGCCAAGGCCTTCGGCATGAAGATTCAGTACCACAACCGATCCCGTCTACCAGCCGAGCTGGAAGTCGGTGCGACATACGTCTCGTTCGACGAATTGCTCGCCAGTTCCGACGTGCTCAGCTTGAACTTGGCTTTGAACGCTTCTACGCGCCACATCATCGGTGCGAACGAGTTCACCAAGATGAAGGATGGTGTCGTGATTGTTAACACAGCACGTGGTGCGCTGATTGATGAGAAGGCGTTGGTTGCGGCACTTGACTCTGGCAAGGTATGTAATGTTGTGGGATAAACTTGAACCTTCCATGGATATGCGGAGAATATTGGCTGACTGAGGGTTTTCTATAGGTGCGCTCTGCTGGTCTGGATGTGTATGAGTGCGAGCCCCAAATTGAGCCCGGGCTTGTCAGCAACCCTAATGTTATGTTGCTGCCGCATATTGGTACTGGAACTTATGAGACTCAGAAGGAGATGGAGATTCTGGTGCTGGATAACCTGCGGTCGGCTGTTGAGAAGGGTGAGCTTATTACACAGGTGCCAGAGCAGAAGAAATAGACTATGTATAGACAATGTAGATATGGATTTATGAAGAATAAAATTTTGTCCCGTTCAATCATCAAGAATCAAGTATGCATCAAGTATAGCTTCGAAGGGCAGTGTTTGCCTTGGTTGATTGTAACGAGATGGACACCTAATATGTGGGGCAAAAACTAAATGACTAAGGTCTGACATAACTCAAAGACAAAATCCACCCAAAACGGCTAGCGTTAGGGCTCGCTTAGGGCCAGAGCGCCAAGAGCGAAAAAAACCGCACCAAATCTGGTGGCTCAAGCGAGAGCCGGACGACGACGAAAAGCGACAACAACTCATCACCGAGGACCATCACACCCCCCTCGCCAACTCCTTCAAGATGGTGAGTGCTGCATGTCCCTGTCATCGATAATGACCATTCCGAATCCCATTCTCTACGAAATGCCACCCGTGTGATGCACATTCAATGTCCGATCGCCGGGTCGACTTTCGCTGCCGACATCACCAACATCCAACGACGATCCGATTGCTAACGAGCGATGCTTTTCACAGGTCCGTTACGCCGCACAGGAGATCTCGGAGGCCAAGAGCGCCCGCGCGCGCGGCTCTTACCTCCGCGTCAGCTTCAAGAACACCCGTGAGACCGCCCAGGCTGTCAACGGCATGAAGCTGTCCAAGGCCCTCACTTTCCTCGAGAACGTTACCACCAAGACCATGGCCGTTCCCATGCGCCGTTACGCCGGCTCCACCGGTCGCACTGCCCAGGGTGAGTCGCCCTTTTTTTTATTTGAAGAAAATTCCGGATGGATCGGAGGAATAGATTATGGGAAGACGAACAGCATCGCCAAATATACGACAGGATATGCAATGAAATGACGAGGAAAAAACGAATGAAACGAGATGATGGATTTTTTGGCTTATTGGCGATGCTGTGGATCTACGATCTGGAAGAAAATTTGTGAATGGAGTCGGAACATCGACTGACAATTTTTTGTTTACAGGCAAGCAGTTCGGTGTCTCCAAGGCCCGCTGGCCCGTCAAGTCCGCTGAGCACATCATTGATCTGCTCAAGAACGCTGAGGCCAACGCCGATGGCAAGGGTCTCGACACCAGCGCTCTGATCATCAAGCGCATCCAGGTCAACCAGGCTCCCAAGGGTCGCCGCCGCACTTACCGTGCTCACGGTCGTGTACGTTTTCTTTCCCCTAGGATATACGGTTGAGTGTGTATCCAAAAATGCTGACTTTTCTTTCCAGATCAACCCCTACATGACCAACCCCTGCCACATCGAGCTCATCCTCACCGAGGCTGCCGAGGAGGTCAAGAAGGCCACCACCGACAAGCAGGTTCGTCTCTCTTCCCGCCAGCGTGGCACCCAGATCCGCCGTGCTCTCATTGAGGCATAAACGGATCGCCATAAGAAGGTGTGAGGGGACGTGATGTGAAAAGATTTTTGCGGTGGACGGGAAGGATCGGAGTTCTGTGCATCAGCTGTGTATGTTGGAACGGAATCGATACCGGATCATACAAGATTTTAAGGTCATGGCGCCAACACTCGGAGGAGAACCCAATAAAAAGTTTAAACGATATGGCCCCAGGGTGATGGAAATAGGATTTTGTACTTCCCGATCCAATCATGATACAAACGTGGTTCTTTCTCCGTGACTCTATCGAGTGTTTTCTCTTTTGATAGAGAGTGTTTCTCCGTTTCCATCTTGTCTAGCTGCACACCTCTGTCGAGGTTCCGATCTTTTGGTCATATAATAAGATCTTATTTTTTCTGTTCTATATGCGTCTGATTCATGTAGTGATGATTGGAAGTCTCAGTAACTGGATATCGCGATGCCTTAAAATACGGGCTAAACTCCGTATGCACTTTATGTGAGGGATATATCGGCATGAATGTAATCTCCAGGAAACCCTGTCTATACCACTTCTGGTCCCCGACATTCTTATCTTGGAATATGCCAAGGGCAACATCCATATATATATAAGCAGGGATCTACATGCGGGGGTATAAGTAGTCCAGAACAGAATATACTTTCGGAATTCCCCCATTATCCCAATCTACTCTCTGTCTCTCTCTCTAGATATATATATTCACCAGATCAAACCAAAATGACCAACCTCTCAGACTACCGCCTCCTCTGCTTCGACGTTTACGGCACTCTGATAGACTGGGAAAGCGGCATCATCACTGCATTAGCCCCGATCCTCTCAAAAAGTACCACCCAATTCACCCGCGAACACCTTCTTACAACCTACCACGACCTCGAAAGTACCCAACAAACCGCAACCCCGGACCTTCTATACTCAGACCTACTATCAGCAATCCACCCCAACCTCGCAGCGCGCCTAGGCCTCAACCCGCCAACCGTCGAGGAAAGCCGCGAATTCGGCAACTCCATTGGGACATGGCCGGCCTTCCCAGACACTGTCGATGCCCTGCGCCGACTATCCAAGCACTATAAGTTGGTGGTGCTGTCGAACGTGGATCGGGCCTCATTCGCCAAGTCCAATGCGGGCAGCTTGCAGGGTGTACCGTTTGATTTGATTCTTACCGCGCAGGATATTGGCAGTTATAAGCCTGATCCACGGAACTTTAAGTACATGTTGAGTGCTGTGCAGCGTGAGTTTGGAGTGGGGCCTGGACAGGTTCTCCAGACAGCGCAGAGCCAGTTTCATGATCATCAACCTGCGAGGAAGACTGGTATTAAGTCTGTTTGGATTGAGAGGTCCGGGGCTTTGATGGGAAATACAGGGGATCCTATCTTTGATTGGCGGTTTGAGACTTTGGGGGAGATGGCTGATGCTGTTGAAGCAGAGTAGTGTGGGGTATGTGTGGCATGTGAGGCGTACGTGGTGCTAAGTACCTGGTACTTATAAATATAGTGACAATACATATTGGAACTAAGTACTGTCTACCCTCACATGTGGCTGAGTCACCAAGAATAAAAACATCCCTGCCTGACATCAATTCCCTGGAGCCTGGATGGCCTTGAGCTTGGCAATGCAGAACAACTGGATGCGTGCGTGGAATGTGGCTTTGACCGCTGAAGATATGAGATATTGACTTTATATATATCTCCCTCCTTGTCCTGTTTTCTTGATCCCTTAGGGCGCCTATTGCTAGTTCCCTGCAGACTAGTAGATCGGCGGTTGGCCCCCCCCGGCTAGAATTATTCTTTGAATTATCTTTGGCAATTTGAACCCTTTTTTTACCCTTTTTTTTTATTCCAAAATTCCTCTTGAAATACAAGAGACTGTGCGATCACCATGAAGCGCTTCCTGGGATCTCTGAGCAGGCGCTCAAGTGAGTATCTCACCGTCTCCATGTCTCCCCGCATATCCGCTGACTTGTACCTGAACATAGGCTCCAGCGACAGTGTCGAACATCGTGAAGACTCACCAGAAGCCATTGTCCTCAAAGAACTGGTTCGTGCTGATCTCAGAGAGATTGGATAAGACACACTGACACCTTCTCCAGACTGCCTTCTGCGAATCGAATGCAAATGAGAATGCGAATGGCTCGCGTGACGCGGTATGTGCCTCGGGAGATGACAACCCACGATTTTCAACACTGACAATCGAATTCGCACCTCCAGCAGGGAACAGAATTCGTTCACCTCCCCAGAATCGTCGAAGCTGCCGAATCGAGCCCCAATGCTGCCAAGGAAGCGGCTTTGCGCATTCGCAAGTACCTTTCCGATCCTGCCGGCACCCCGAACAATACCCAGTACAATGCGATCATGCTTATGCGTATCCTGGTCGACAATCCGGGCCACACCTTCACGCGCAACTTCGATGCCAAATTCGTGACGACCGTCAAAGAGCTGCTGCGCACAGGACGTGACTGGCACGTGCAAAGCTATCTCCGCGAGTATTTGGATACCCTCGAGCAACAGCGCGCATGGGACGAAGACATCAAACTGCTGCTGCAGATGTGGGCGAAGGAGAAGACGAAAGCCTCGCACGGTTTGGTGAGCACATCATATAGGTCTCTCAGCATGCTGTCCAAGACTCTAACCTATCTAGATCGACCGTTTCCCAATGAATTCCGTCGTCCCACCGCAAGTCCCAGCCAGACCTCCCGGTCACCACCAGCAGACATATAGACAGTCCCGCGCGCCGGCAAATTCCCTCCCCAACCCAGTGGAACTAGCAGCCCGCATCGAGGAAGCGCGCAATTCGGCAAAACTGCTAACGCAGTTCGTTCAGTCCACGCCACCGGTAGAGCTGGAAGGCAACGAGCTCATCAAGGAGTTCGTTGACCGCTGCGGGACCGCTTCGCGTTTAATTCAAGGATATATCCACATGAACAACCCAGCCCCGGACGAGGACACCCTATTGACACTCATTGAGACGAACGACGAGATCTCCGTGGCGATTTCGCAGCAGCAGCGTGCCATGCTGAAGGCGCGAAAGATCACAGGATCTTCGTCGCCGACCTCGTCCAATTTGAATAGTCCATCGCCGACGTCGCAGACTGTCGCACCAGCCGCTACGAGTTTCTCTCCTCCCCCCGGGCCCCCTCCTCTGATTGAAACACGGAGCCCTGAGACCTCTGCACCCGTCGCGGCACAACTGCCTTCTCCGACCATGACTGGTGGCCGGCCACTTGCTTCCCACCCCGTCTCGGGATCCGCGACTACTGGACGATATGAATACAACGCCGAGGATTTCCAGGTGCGGAATCCTTTCGCCGATGACTTTGCTACCAATGACTCGGATGAGAGGAATCGCGTACATGGTAATTCGCAGCCCCAGAGTGATCGCGTGCGCTTCCAGCCTACTGAGCAGGAGCGCTAGCGCCATGCAGGGATCAATTGGTGATCGCCGATAGCATGTCTCTCTTTTTTATCGTCTAGCGCTTTGACTCTTTTTCTTTTTTGGTCATATTTGATTCTGGTTGTGGTTTTGTCTATTTTTGCTAGCGTATAGCTTTTGCCTTTTTTTGGTTCCCTTTGCCTTTTGGCCTCCATGATACCTCGCACATTGTCACTAAACACATACTCGTTAGCTTTTTACTGCGAATGCCTCTAGCATGCTTGACCTATAGGAGAGTGAGTGCACTGTCGTTTCATACCCTAGGTACATATACCTTCCAGATAAATATATGCGAGTTTTATACCCTCTGTGATCTAGTGTCCCTCTCGATCATGATATGTTTGTGCACACAACTCGGGGTTATTATACAAGGCCCGCATTACAAACAAAGGTTGAATGCATTGGTAGAAAGCCATCAACAGTAGCTACGAAAGAAACCCAAAAATCACAAGGGGCTTATCCAAGCCTTGTGCATATTTCTATGCATTATCAGACATGTCATCTTGCAGGCTATTTCATTTACCTCACCAACAAAAGTGTACGTCCGTTCAGTCTTCAATCTTGATAGCAGCCCTCTTATTAGCCTCAGCCTGAGCCTCAGCCTGAGCCTCAGCCCTCTCCCTCGCCTCAACCTCCTCAGGGAAAGGCTTCCTGGCCCACACACGTCGCCTGCAAAAAAGATCAGCCTAATCCACACCAAACCTCGCAAAAAGGAGCAAAAAAGGAGGAAAAAAGGAGTGGGGGGGGG